CAGGCCACCAGCACCTGGCTTTTGAATTTTATTAGTCATATTTCCATTTAGTCTACAGATAATATCTTGTGTGATTGTAGTACTTTATAGTGTAAAGAATTTATACCTATCAATTATATTTGTACATATTTCAGAACATTAATGATATCGTTTTGTGACAGCTTGAAGTCAACAGGGTTTTTTAAATTGTTAATTGAAATATTTTTGTTTTTCATTGTTGTTATAAAGGTGATATACAGAGGGTTACAGTTACATAAGTCAGGTAAGAGTTCCTTTCTTTTCAGCCAGTCTCACCCCTTCTCTCCCAGTTTTTCCCTCTCCTCATTTTCAACATAGTGTCCACTGAGTACCATTGGGAGTATAATAATTTAAAAGATCTCAACAAATTCTCAGAGATTTGATGGCTCGGGAAGAGAGATGTCAGAGCTGTCATAGCGACCTTCAAATCATTGCGTGTCTCACATGAAGGAAGAAGTAGAAGATAAGGGGGTGGGGTCGCAAAACGCGCGGAAGCTCTGTCCCAGGGAGCTGTGGGTTCCGTGTGTGAGAGGAGAGGCTCCGGCGTGGCCCGGGGGCGGTGAGGCTCGGTCCTCCTCCACACTCGCGTCACTGAGCGCAGTGTCCTCGGGGCCATCCGGTGGATCCGTGTGTCTGAATCTTCTCTGTCTGTTTGCCCTCTGGGCTGGTATTGGGGTTTTGAACTCAGGGCCTTATGCTTGCTAGGCAGGTGCTTTCCTGCCCGGGCCACACCCCCATCTCTTATTACTTGAATTGCTTTTGAGAAGGCTCTCATGTGTATGCCTAGGCCTCTCCCAGCAGACCAGGCCTGGCCATTTATCTCCAAAAATAAATGCAAGTTCCTACATCACTATTACCTTTTCTGTTGTTGGCAGATAACAAATGAATGCAGAGATGCCAAACCTGTATTCATTTAGCTTTGTTTACCTATTGGGCGCAAGGGGAAGGCCAGTGCTTTTTATAAAGGCAGTCTCCAAGTATGTGCGTGTACTTACCCACCTGTCCATTGGTGGACAGCTGAGTTTTTCCCACTTTTTGGCTGTGATGAATGATGCTATTATGAACATAAGAGTGAAAATGTCTCTGGTGTCCTGCCTTCAGTTTTCAGGACACATAGCCAGAGGTATTGCTTGCTCACAAGGCGATTCTGGTCATGTTGGGGGCGGGGGAACGTGGGTGCCAGGCTCCCCTTCTCCAGTTCCTTACCCACACTTGCTGTCTTTTGTTACGTTTTATAGATGCCATCCTGATGAGCGTTAGACGTCAGCTCATGTGGTTTTGATTGGCATTTCCATTGAGCATGGCATTGAACATCTTTTACGTGATTATTGGCCACGTGTATGGCTTGTTTGAAATAATCTGGCTGGTTATCTTTCTTGTGGAGCTTTGAGTTTTTCCTCTGGCCTTGAATGCTGACTTCTCGTCAGATGCATGGCTTCCCTCGGTTATTTGCCTTCTCACGCCCTTGATTGGAGTAAGCACAGCAGTCTGGAGAGTGTGCTCTGATGTGGGGAAGGCAGGAGCAGTGGGCACAGCTTCTGGAAGAAGGAGTCCCGTGTGGCTGTTGAGATTGTTCCAGACTCACAGACCAGGACAAAGATGGAAGTAACTGGAGAAGAAGACTTAAGAACGCCTCACCTTGGGCTGGGAAGGTGGCTCAGTGGTAGAGCGCTTGCCTTGCATGCTTGAGGCCCTGGGTTCCATTCCTCAGCACCACATAAGCAGAAAAAAAAGGCGCAAGTGGCGCTGTAGCTCAAGTGGTAGAGCGCTAGCCGTGGGCTGAAGAGCTGAGGGACAGCGCCCAGGCCCAGAGTTCAGGCCTCATGACTGTCCCCCCCGCCCCATGAACCTCACCAGTTCAGCCCAGAGCTGGCCTCAAGCGGGGAGGTTAGGAAGACAGCAAGGGACCAAGGAGTGCTCAGACTCTCCCGTGAGTCTCAACATGAAGTGGCTGAACTTCTGCTAACTTTATTTGTCGGAAATAGAATCCGTGTGGAACAGTTCTGCTTTGTGCCGTGTCGGGTAAAGCCTTCTTGTTTTCCTGATGAATTTCGAGTTTGTCCAGTGTGATGGAATGCCCCTGGAGAGGTTTGAATGGCCATCTGCTCTACATGTAGGGGCTGAAGACTGGCTTGCGGGAGCCAGGCTGGGGCCGGGCAGGAGGAAGATGTGTTCGGAGGCTTTTGTAGAGGCGGAGGCAGTGAGTGAAGGAGGGAGGGCGGCTGCCCAGCTGCCCTGCTGGGAGAAGCAAGGAAGACGACGAGTCGGGAGGTCGCTCCCAGGTCGAGGAGACGCCGCACCAGGCTGCGCTGAGCAGGTTAACCCACAAGAGTAAGACGTCGTTTCAGAATTTTAAAATTTGAGCTATCTTTGGGATACCCCCAGGTGTGAACCCCAAGCTCAGAAGAAAGCCCTGGAGGTGGGATTAGAAGGTGAGCAGCTCATCAACACAGTCACAGCCGCCTGCCTCCAGGTGGCCCTCTTGGACAGGATTTAAGACCGCCCACACTTGGATGAGCCCTGGAGACTGGAGCCAGCCGGCGAGCCAGTCGTGGGCATGCGGGCTTTCTCAGACCTTCCGGTGCCCGCAGTCACCCGTAAAGGTCCACAGAAGAGCCCTGTGCCACAGCCAGGCCCAGGGGTGGTCTGCCTCCTCTGGGAGGCTGATCACATTGGCTCACCTCTTGGATGCTGGATGCTGGTGGCTCACGCCTGTAATCCTGGTCACTCAGAAGGCTGAGATCTAGCAGATCATGATTCAGAGCCAGCCCACACAAAAAGCTAGACAGGAGGTGTGGCTCAAGTGGTAGAGCGCCAGCAAGCAAACCACATGAGCACAAAGCCCTGAACTCAAAGCCTGATGTGCCCCCCTCCCCCCAAAAAATAACAAAAAGTAAGTGTCTGTTATTTGGGATCTTCAGCAGAACTGACAGTGCTGCCCTAAGACTGTGGCTCCATCAGCCCGTACCTTTCTCCTCTCTTGCCTTTGCCATGTGTCCTTTTCAAAAGTCAGTATAGCTAGGAAAGTGGTTGTGCATTTATTACACCAAACACTGGAGGGGAGGTTAATAAAGAGTGGGAAAGGAAGAGCGGGAGAGGGAGGGAAACATCAACTACTTCAGATTAATATTGAATAAATATTACTGGGCTAATAGTATCTTTTAAAGTATTAGAAGTGCTGATCAAATTTTAATGAGGTATTTAAAATTCATAATTTATAGAGTAAAGATACACCTGAAGAGAAATGAGGCATAAAAAAGCTAGGTATTATATTAAATATATAAATGGTTTTCATTTAAACTAGTAAAACCTAATGGTATAATGGTTATAGGGGACTGCCTAACATAAAAGACAAAAATTAGCCAAATTGAAAACACCTGTTTCTCAGACTTGAATAAAACAAAACGAGAGAAACCAGCATTTATATCACGTCATATTTTTTTCATATCAGACATAAAAGAGGCATGTAAATTGGCCTGTGTCTTATAAGTTAGATACATAAGTGTAGAAATGTAGTATCTCTTTTTTTTCTCTTCTTTTTCTTTCTTTGTTGTTGTTTTTGGTGGTGGTCGTGGGGCTTGAACTCTGGACCCGGGCGCTGTCCCTTAGCTCTTCAGCTGAAGGCTAGCACTCTGTCACTTGAGCCTCAGCACCATGTCTCATGGACTTGCCTGCCCGGGCTGGCTTTGAACTGCGATCCTCAGATCTCAGCCTCCTGAGTAGCTAGGATGACAGGCGTGAGCTAATGGCACCTAGCATGAAATGTAGGTTCTTATAGTTTATTTTCTTATTTTTATAACTAAACACTCACTTTGTGTCTCTGAAAGATGAGACGTTCGTTCGGCCATTAGAGTGGTTATGAAGGGAAATTGCAGGTCTATAAACAATGCCATGTGGTTCCCTCCTTGCTGACCGGGAGCTGGGAAAGAAGAGCGACCAGAGGGCAGATGGACCAGAGTCTTCCTCCCCCTCCCCTCCCTCCTGCCCCCCTCTCCCTCCCTGCCCCCCCCCACTCCCACCTCTTTCTCTTTCAGTACTCTTGCAATACTGGAGAGCTAGGCTCTGTGCTGACTAGTTCTGTACCACTTGATTCATGACCCTGGTCTGTTTCCTTGATTTTGTTTCTCCCATAGTCTTGGGCTCAATTTGCACCAGCCGTCCTCAAACCATGACCTTTCTCTCTACCTCTGAGAGGCCGGGATGACGCTGTGTGCTTTCATGCCCAGCAAAAACATTTCTTGAAACATTCTCAGCAAATGAGTGTGTGTGTGTGTGTATGTGTGTGTGCGTGCGTGTGTGCGTGTATGTGTGTGCGTGCGCGTGCGTGTGTGTGTGTGTGTGTGTGTGTGTGTGGTCGTTACTCTCCCGGAGGCTCTCAGCCCAGGTGTGTATAAGAACTGGTAGATCTGGGGAAGGGCTGGCATTCCTTTTAAGAGATACAGAAATTACTTGGGTGTACAGCTAGGAATGCTGTAAGCAGTGAACAGTCAGGGCAAATCTGTAGTAGAAGAGTCAAAAGTACATTTCGAAGCTAATTCCAGCTGGGACCAGGAGAGAGCAGCAGCATTCGCGGCTGAGCCGGAGGTGATGCCCTTGGCCGCCACGTGGTACTTCGTTACCTTAGTGTCTATAATTCTCCCTCTTAGCAACATGTCTCAGTCTAGAGATATATGGATATTGGCTATTGCTCCAGAAAAGTGCTTTTTTTGTTTTGTTGTTTTCAATTATTTTACAAGGATGGAGTTCCAGGAATATAATTCTGTTGGCCAAAGGAAATGAGTAGTTTGGGTCCTGTCTATGAATTGTCATGATGAGTGTAATCAATTTATAGTCTTAACTTCCATGTGGAAGTTAACAAGCGCTGAAGACACATGCGCGTGGTTTAAGAAAAGAACGATTGTTAGGATTTTAATGAATTTATACTTAACGACTCTGCTTACGTGGCATTTATGGTCACTGAAAACTCAGTTTGTCTTTCCTAGATTGATGAACTGCCTGAGGGAGCCGTGAAGCCCCCCGCAAACAAGTATCCTATCTTCTTTTTCGGTACTCACGAAACGTAAGTAAGGAAAATACCTTCATGTTTCAGCTGCGTTAGTTTGATTCCTCTGGACTTCGTTGTTAAGGATGCTCTTCACTGCTTCATGTATTTTAGTTTTTCATTATAATTGATGATAGGAAGTTACCAAGCTTAATACATTTTTCTTAACATAAGGATTTCTCAGGTACTGGGAAGGTGCTCAGTGGTGGGGTGCTTGTCTAGCATGCATGAAGCCCTGGGTTCTATTCCTCAGTACCACATACACAGAAAACGCTGGAAGTTGCAGTGTGGTTCGAGGGGTAGAGCGCTATCTTTGAGCGCAGAGAGGCTTTGGGACAGCGCCTGGGCCCTGAGTTCAAGCCCTAGGACGGACACACACACAAAAAAAAGATTTTTCATCCACAGGTGTCTGAGTGGCATGAGGTGTATCTTGGCTTCTGAATGTCATTCCTGTTTCTGAGTAAATGCTGGCCATTAAGCAGAAGTCTTCCTGGGGACACTTAAGTGCTTACTCTCCCAGGAATTTTATAGCTCCTTCTAGAGAAATTGTTTTCATATTTCACAGAACAAGGTTTTGTTCTGTGAAAAGCTCTTTTGCTTGTTGCCCCTTGACGCCAGCACCTACGTTTCTGGAGTTTTCCAAGTCTATGCATTCATTTATAACCTCAAATAATAGAGATGTTCGTTTCTTTCTTTTGAACTCAGTTGCGGGCGGATGTGTCCTGGAGGACAGAGGACCAGGTCCCTCTGGTCTTACTGGGGGTCCTTCACCAGTATTCCCTTCTTTGCTTAGTTTAAAGATAAACAAACCAGTCTCAGCAATACACAGCCCCCTCTAGGCCACGAGAAGGGCAGAGAGGAGTCACTCCTTGTAAGGAAGTTGCCAGCGCTTCCACGCTCATTTATTCCATTGGCCAGAACCTGATGCATGACCGCATCTGGCTACAAAGGACCCCCTCCCTCCCCCCCCTCCCCCAGGGCTCCTTTGAATGTTAACAGGTAGGGATTTGATAGAAACACTTTATTAGTTCGTTGCCTTTACCGCTCTGGCGTCTTCATTTTTTTTGTCTTGACAGAACCAGGACAGGGGTGTCAGGTCAGATCTCTTTGCTCCTGGGTAGACCCTTGTGCTTCTTTCAGGAAATGTGTCTTCTGTGGGCTTTTTTATTATTTTCGTTTTGTATTGTTTGGGGTTTGGTTTAATTTTGCACTGCTCAGCCCCCAGTGTGCTAAGCACATGCTCTCCTCCCCTCCGTACTCAGCCCCATGCTTACTAGCACGTGCATGGTGCTCTCTCCTTTTAAGAGGTCGCTAGAAAGCTTAGAAGTGAATGTCATAAGTACATAAGCGTTTGTGATATTTCTTTCCCACTTGACATGTTGCTGCATTTTTAGGATGAAGCAAGATTTAATAAACACCTGAGCTCGGTGCCTCAAGCCTATAATTCTAGCTACTTGAGAGGCAGAGGTGGAAGGTTAGGGAATTGTGGTTCGAGGCCAACCTGAGCAGAAAGAAGTTTACAAGACCCTATGTCAACTAATGGCTGGGTGTATCTTTTTTAAAGTATGTGTCTATAACGTCTTGTAAGTACAGGTGCCGCTCAGGGTTCATATTTGCTATAATGTGTTCCTACACCTCCACTGATCCTGATATTGAAAATCGTTTCTATTTTCCATGTCTCTGCAGTGCATTTCTAGGTCCCAAAGACCTTTTTCCATATAAGGAATACAAAGATAAGTTTGGAAAGTCAAACAAACGGAAAGGATTTAATGAAGGATTGTGGGAAATAGAAAACAACCCAGGAGTGAAGTTTACTGGCTACCAGGTAACAATGATATCACTGTCATTTTCACATCTTGTTTGCTTGGTTTTAAATCTTTTTCACATCTGTGTGATCACGCCTTACGTCCTTTGTGCTACTAGTTACCAGCCATCCATCTGAAGTCAGGGTTGTTTGTTGTTGGTGGGGTTTTTTTGGCTTTCATAGACCTTTGGTTAAATGCAACTCTTTTACCTAAAAGAGGTCAAGCTAAATGGCCCCTGGAAAGTGTGTCAGCCCTTGGCTGAGTGTAAAGCAGCAATGGCTGCATCGCTGCGTTTGTCCTCAAAGCCTCTTCCCCGTAGCAGGGATTACAGCTGTGGGCTCTGTTTCTCATCACCTTTTATGTTGCAAATATTTTTTTCAACATGTAGTTAGCTAAGCTTTTTTTCATTAGGCAATCCAACAGCAGAGCTCTTCAGAAACTGAGGGGGAAGGTGGAAATACGGCAGACGCCAGCAGTGAGGACGAAGGCGACAGAGTAGAAGAAGATGGAAAAGGCAAAAGGAAGAATGAAAAAGGAGGCTCAAAACGGAAAAAGTCCTATGCTTCAAAGGTTGCTGACACTGCGGGGTGTTACCGTTGCACGCACGCTCGTTAAAAGCGCTTAGGTGGGGCCAGGTGTGGAGTTCACACCTGTTCAGGAACCCTAAGTAGGAGTCACAGTCCAGCCAGCCTCGGCATAGAGTGAGACCCTGTTCCCAAAGATAACGACAGTGAAAAGCGCCGCGGGGGTGACTGACTCACGTGGTCGAGCTCCTGCCTGGCGGGCAAAGGCCCGTGAAGTCAAACCTTTGAAACTGATGTTTGGGCTCAGGTGGTAGTAAAGTCAGATAGAAGCACTTAAATCGCATACCTTGTCACTAAGCTAGACCATATTTTTTTTTTTCTGTGCATTTAAAAAACTTGGGAGGAGCCGGGCGCTGGTGGCTCACGCCTGTAATCCTAGCTACTCAGGAGGCTGAGATCTGAGGATCGCGGTTCAAAGCCAGCCCAGGCAGGAGAGACTCCTATCTCCAATAAACCACTAGAAAACCAGAAGTGGCGCTGTAGCTCAAGTGGTAGAGCGCTCGCCTTGAGCTGTAGAGCTGAGGGACAGCGCCCAGGTCCAGAGTTCAAGCCCCACGACCGCCAAAAGAAAAGAGAGAGAAAAAAAAAACTTGTGAAGAAAGTCCTATTTGATAGTTTAGTGTTGTTGTTTGGCGGCACTAGAGTTTGAACTCAGGGTCATAAACGTGTGAGGCCGGTACTCAGCACTGAGTTACTTTAGGTTTTATTTGCAGTGTACTTGAAGATCCTTAAAGTTTCTTCAGGTATTAGCAAAGCTGTGTTTTCCTGTCTTGACTGAGACACACCCGGAGGCAGTGTTTGCCCTTGCGTGCCCCTGCTAAGCAACTCCGGCCGCAAGCTTTAGATGTATTTCATCTTCCTGTAGGCTTCATTCCAAACGTAGGATGAACAAGGAAAAGAACTGGCTCACATTCAGCCTTGGGTGCTTGAGAAACTATGGATGATTTAAAGTATTAAAGTTGACTTATGTCACACTGCTCGTAAAGCTTTGTGACTTTTTCTGAGTTCGCTCTTCTCTCAGCAGCCTCAGCAGGTACTGCACATGAACGTCTGTGTACCACCTTCCTTTTTGTTGGGGCGTTTTGGTAGCATTGGGTTTGAGCTCAGGACCTTGGGTTTGACGGGTAAAAGCACTTTGCCACTTGAGCCACCCCTAGCCTTCCACATGCATCTTGGAAAGTCTTCCTCGCGTCTCCAGACCGTGACTTCTACTATAACACAGTGGGCAGAACAAAATGGTCCCTTATGTTGTCATCTGGTCTACCTCTTGGTCCTGTCCCACTAGTTAATCTGAGGCCCAGCAAGAGAAATGACCTATCCAGCATAACCTAGCCCCGCCTTGACAGGCTGCACATCACACCTGCATGTGCTGCGTTCAGCTGAGAGTCCAGGGTGTCAGGTGGGGGCTTGAGAGCAGGGCCTCTTGCTGTCATTCTCTTCAGGCTGGCCCTCTACCATTTGAGCCATACCTCCACTTCCTGCTTTTTGCTGGTTGATTGGAGATAAAAATTCCTTGAATGTGTCTGCCTGCTGGCTTCAAACCTCATTCCTCAGGTCTCAGCCTTCTAAGTAGCTAGGATTACAGGTGTGAGCTACTGGCACCTAGCTTGTATTTCTGGTTTTGACTATAATTTTAACTCATCTAAATATTTAGAAATCCTCTAAACAGTCCCGGAAATCTCCAGGAGATGAAGATGATAAAGACTGCAAAGAAGAGGAAAACAAGAGCAGCTCTGAGGGTGGAGATGCCGGTAATGACACAAGAAACACAACTTCAGACTTGCAGAAAACCAGCGAAGGGGTATGTGCTTTCCATTTCCTTTGTCACCTGTCCATGAGAAGACACAGGGTCCCTGTCTTAGCAGGAGTAAACTCTGTGCTTGTAAGACATGGCCTCAGCTTGACGCATCTGCTCATGGAGCCAAGGAGGGATCATACCAGCCGACAGTTTGGAGCTCATGAACAGGCGTTGTCTTTATTCAATTGTCAATCATTGAAATGAAGTGATGATGAAATTTCTAGTTTCACAAAATTAATGGTAGCTTCAAAATATGGCATTATGTATTGTCACTTCTTTCTCAGAAGCAGCAGGTAGTTTAATGTATCCCTGGTGACTCTAAATGTTTAAATATTCAAGCAAATATTTGGATATTGATGTATCTAAATACCTGTGAGGTAGATTTATCTGCCTTTTGTCCTGCTGGCCTCTGTTCACATTTTTAGTGGAGCTTGGGGTTTTGTTGTTCTTCAGCAGTGCTGGTATTTCAGTTCATAGTCTGTTTGCTAGAGGAGCGCTCTCCACTTCAGCCACGCTGAAGTACCTCTTGGGTTTTGTCTTCAGTTTTATTTTTCAGATAGCCACTTTTGCCTGCCCTGCCTCAGACCATGACCCTGCTCCCTGCACCTCCCACATAGCTAGGATTACACGTTTACACCCCCATGCCCATCTTGTTTCCAGATAAGACCTTGCGAATTGGGGGGGGCGACTGGGCTAGTCTTGAACTGTGATTCTTCCATCTCTGCCTCCTGTGTGGCTGGGAATACCGTTGTTTTTAAGATTCTTTTATGTGACTACATATAGCAGCAGCTTTTATTCATTTAATCATTGCCGTATGAGGAGTTTGTATTCAGAGTGTAGTGTGCTATGTGAACACACCACAATTTTTTAAAATAAGTTTTTTATTGTGAAAATACTGTACAGAGGGGTTACAGTTACATGAGCAAGGTAATGAGTGCATTTCTTATCCAGCATTGTTGCCTCCTCCTTTGTTTTTCCCCTACCATCCCTTCCCTCCCATCTCCTCAACTACACCCCCCACCCCTCCATCCCCTGCCTAAATTGTAAAGTTCATTTTTTGACATAGCATCTTGTTCATCTCATTGTTGCAATGGATCAACCTGTATCCCTATTTAGACAATTTGTTTTTTTCCTTCTGCTCCCCAAATTATACCAACATCAAATACAGTGAAAACAGGTTATACTGTGGGGGAGCATACCACAGTTTATCCAGCATTCTGTGAGTGGGTCGTTCCCAACTTATGCAGTTAAGAACTCCCTCGCTATAGGCATTCTCATTTTTATCTTCTAGTGTACATGTGTATTAGCTTCCTTACCTTATATAACTAGAAATGAATGTCTAGAGATATTAGTTATGGGTTTTTTTTGTTGTTGTTGGGTTTTTGTTTGTTTGTTGTCGGGGGCTTGAACTCTAGGCCTAGACACTGTCCCTCAGCTCTTCAGCTTAAGGTGAGCACTCTACCACTTGAGCCACAGCACCACTTCCAGTTTTCTCATGGTTAATTGGCTTCTTTTTTTTTTCTTTTTTTTTTGGGGGGGGGGGTGGCTTCGGTCGTGGGCCTGAACTCTGGGCCTGGGCGCTGTCCCTCAGCTCTTCAGCTCAAGACTAGCACTCTACCACTTGAGCCACAGCACCACTTCTGGCTTTTTTTTTTCCTGCTTATGTGGTGCTGAGGAATTGAACACAGGGCCTCAGGCATGCAAGGCAAGCGCTCTACCACTGAGCCACCTTCCCAGCCCTCTCATGGTTAATTAGAAATAAGAGTCTTTCAGACTTTCCTGCCTGGGCTGGCTTTGAACTGCGATCCTCAGATCTCAGCCTCCTGAGTAGCTAGGATGACAGGCGTGAGTCATCGGTGCCCAGCTAGTTTGTGGTTTTTTAACTCTGGAAGACAGTACCAATTGTTTTCCTATGACGTTAGGAAATAAATTGTCTCTGTCTCCCCCCACCCCCCCCCACCCAGCAGTAGCTGAGATTTCCCTTTGTTCACCTGACCAGACTTCTGATTTTTGCCTACATATCATATAGAACTAGAACAGTTGTCACCATGTTAATTTGAGCTCACTAATGGTGACTCAAGCTCCTTTTTACGTCTCTTTGAATACATGTGCACTTCTGAGTTTTTGCCCTTTTTCTCCTATCCTGGACTAACCAACACAAGTTGTTATGCCTTGCAAATAAGTATGTTCTACAAGTTGGTGGCTGGTCTATTCAGTTTCTTTCTGATACCTTTACAAATATACTATCTTAATTTCATTGCAACCAATTCTATTAAACGTTGCTTTTTGTGGTGGAGTTTCTCTGTGAGTCCAGCCATCTGACCCCGCACCACTTACACTCTCTGGTGTGTATTAGCAGCTAGCTGTCATCTGGCCTTGGCTGTCTCCCTGGTGTCTCTGTACTGTTCCTTTGGTCAATACTCAATCGATACATGATTACAACAGCGTTCTAAAAAGTCCTGATACTTTATAGGTCCGTAATAGTAAACTCCTTTTCAAATACTTGGTCATGCCTGGGATAGAAAGTCAAGGAGGGCTTTTTTGGTGTGCTGGAACTTGAACTCAGGGCCTCACGTACCAGGCTGGTGTTGTGCTGCTGTCTCTGAACCAGCACTCGACACACAGGATTAACAGACTTAAACCAGCAAGATTCCGCTTCCCTGTGTGCGCGTCTGTGGCCAGGCCCCAGGTCACACTGTCACCAGGTCACACAGCCGCCGGGTCACACAGCCTCCGGGTCGCACAGCCCGGGTCACACAGCCCGGGTCGCACAGCCACAGGGTCACACAGCCACAGGGTCACACAGCCGCCGGGTCACACAGCCCGGGTCACACAGCCACAGGGTCACACAGCCGCCGGGTCACACAGCCACAGGGTCACACAGCCACAGGGTCACACAGCCACAGGGTCACACAGCCCGCCGGGTCACACAGCCCGGGTCACACAGCCACAGGGTCACACAGCCCCCAGCCACAGGGTCACACAGCCACAGGGTCACACAGCCACAGGGTCACACAGCCCGGGTCACACAGCCACAGGGTCACACAGCCACAGGGTCACACTGCCACAGGGTCACACAGCCCGGGTCACACAGCCACAGGGTCACACAGCCACAGGGTCACACAGCCACAGGGTCACACAGCCTGGGTCACACAGCCACAGGGTCACACAGCCACAGGGTCACACAGCCCGGGTCACACAGCCACAGGGTCACACAGCCCGGGTCACACAGCCACAGGGTCACACAGCCCGGGTCACACTGACGCTGGGTCACACAGCCACAGGGTCACACAGCCCGGGTCACACAGCCACAGGGTCACACAGCCACAGGGTCACACAGCCACAGGGTCACACAGCCCGGGTCACACAGCCACAGGGTCACACAGCCACAGGGTCACACAGCCCGGGTCACACAGCCACAGGGTCACACAGCCCGGGTCACACTGACGCTGGGTCACACAGCCACAGGGTCACACAGCCCGGGTCACACACACACAGCCACAGGGTCACACAGCCACAGGGTCACACAGCCCGGGTCACACAGCCACAGGGTCACACAGCCACAGGGTCACACAGCCCGCCGGGTCACACAGCCGCCGGGTCACACAGCCGCCGGGTCACACAGCCCGGGTCACACAGCCACAGGGTCACACAGCCGCCGGGTCACACAGCCCGGGTCACACAGCCCGGGTCACACAGCCGCCGGGTCACACAGCCCGGGTCACACTGCCACAGGGTCACACAGCCCGGGTCACACAGCCTGGGTCACACAGCCCGGGTCACACTGACGCCGGGTCACACAGCCGCCGGGTCACACAGCCCGGGTCGCACAGCCCGGGTCACACAGCCCGGGTCGCACAGCCCGGGTCACACAGCCCGGGTCGCACAGCCACCACACCGCTGTGGGGAAGTCAGCCAGCCGCCCGGCTACAGCCAATCTCCAGCACTCACCAGCCTGCATCCTCCCAACCTGAACCTATTGTTATTTCTGTAGAAAGGTGGAGCCCCTTCCGCCCGCACGATCAAGTGCAGAGCAGTTTACTTCCCAGTACTCACATTCACTCTTCCCAACCCCCTTTACCAGGGCCCCAAGGAGCTTTCACTTACATCTGTGTGTGTGTGTGTGTGTGTGTGTGTAAAATCTATTACATGCTGTATACTATATACTGTGTATATAATAGCTGTTGACATCTACTGCATCAGAAATAAAATAGAAATTTAAGAAAAGTATTTTTTCAGCCAATCTGAGGGTCACAGTTTCAAACCAGCCCAGGTAAGAAAGTCCACGAGATTCTTTTTTTTTTTTTTTTTTTTTCGGTTGGGGGGCTTGAACTCTGGGCCTGGGCGCTGTCCCTCAGCTCTTCAGCTCAAGGCAAGCGCTCTACCACTTGAGCTACAGCACCACTTCTGGTTTTCTGGTGGTTTATTGGAGATAGGAGTCTCACGGTCTCTCCTGCCCAGGCTGGCTTTGAACCGCGATCCTCAGATCTCAGCCTCCTGAGTAGCTAGGATTACAGGCGTGAGCCACCAGCGCCCGGCTGTCCACGAGATTCTTATCTCCAATTAACTACCAAAAAGCTAGGCATGGAGCTGTGGCTCAAGTGGTAGAGTGCTAGCCTTGAGTGAAAATGCTAAAGAACAGTGCCCCCAGGCCCTGAGTTAAAGTCTCAGTACTGGCACCAAAAAAGCAAAAGTCACTTATTTAAAAATAACATTACATAGCATAGACCACATTTTAATGAAATACAGCCAAATTTTCCCAGAAATGTTTTGTGGAAGATGACACTGCCTTCCACTTCCGCAAGTCTCTTTAATGTCTAAAGTGATAGAAGATTCTGTGGCTCCTCCTTCTATCTGCCATGATGCTGATTTGGGTAAAGATACTAACCAAAGATACATAGGCAAAGATGCCCACCAAGATACATAGCTAGATAATAAAAACATCTTTCAGATTAGTATCTTCAGTAATTGTGACTCTTCTTGTTTGACATTTCACTAATTCAGTATGTGGTTGTTTATTAAATGTTGGACAGCGTGTGCAATCAACTTGCCATATTCTGGTTTTGGGTTTTTTTGTTGTTGTTGTTGTTTTTTTTGGTCGGTCGTGGGGCTTGAACTCTGGGCCTGGGCGCTGTCCCTGCGCTCTTTAGCTCAAGGCGAGCGCTCTACCACTTGAGCCACAGCGCCACTGACCTTGCCATATTCTGTTACATTAAAGTCTACTGAACTACCTAGCATCTCAAATATCTGAGTTTGTTTTTTGTTTTGTTTTTGCCAGTCCTGGGGCTGGAACTCAGGCCTGAGCACTGACCCTGAGCTTTTGCTAATGTTCTACCACTTGAGTCACAGCTTCACTTCCAGCTTGTTTGGTAGTTAATTCAATACAGATTTTCTTCCCTGGGCTGGCTTCAAACTGTGACCCTCAGGACTCAACTTCCTGAGTAGCTAGAATACAGGCGTGAGCCACCAGCACCCGGCTTTCCATGAACTTTTTGATATGAAAAAAGCAAAGCCTTGGAAGTTGCTTTTGCTAAGTATGGTTACTGCCACAATTCAGATCAATTGCTTACCCACTTGTATACTGTGTACTGTGGACAGTTCTGTGAAACCCTAAATCGCCTAAAGGCTTGTTTTCTCTTTTTACAGACCTAACTACCATAATGAATGCTGCATACTAAGAGAAACCACAAGAAGGTTCAGTGTTGGGTTGTCTAATATTCTTGGATTTGATATGAACCTACACATAGTCCTGTTGTCACTGGCAGCCCAGTTTGTACGTACATCGTCCATATTCCTCTGTTACGTTGGAAAAGACATGTTAGCCTTTTTTAAGGTTATTGATTTGATTTCTTGTTACTTGATTGCATGAAGTTGCCCTTAGCCACTGAGAAGCACTGAGGTTTTTGCGCAGACTTCCACATGTCTGGGATCCTCTCGCCAAGTCCTGCCTTGGCCTCTGTCGACCAAGCACCCAGTTAACGATGAGCGTTTTTATATGACCACCCAGCACAGGCATAAAGACAGGACGTCCTCTTTGACAGAACTCAGGAGCTAATCCCTACATACATAATTGGTAAATTGGAGAGTAAATTGTCTTTCAGTTTTGAGGCTATGTGTAAAAGTTCAACCATCTTGTACAATGTCTATTCTATATTAGAAATAGCTAGTCAACAGCTTACACTTCTCAAAATACACGGTGTGTACACAAACTGAGTTTCTATATGTGAAGGTAGCGAGTCTTCTGTGTTACTCCAAATTAAAGGCAGGGATTTATCTTTCCCCGATGCCAGTACACGCTGAGCGAGCACGCGAGATGGATCCTTGACGCATGGACCTGCGGAGCTCAGCGGAGCCCTTGGCAGCGACAGGGCATTGACTCCGCCTAGGGGCTTTGAAAACGGACTGTTTCCTTCTGGAACTAGAATTAGAATAGTGAAATAGCCATCCACAAACCATTACTATGTGTACATGATTGTTGCTATTGTGATAATAGAGAACGTAATTTATTTTTATGCCAGCCTATATTGTGAGCACACATCTAGTCAGTTTGGGTTTTATCGATCCTGTTTTGCTCGTCCCTTGAACATTTTTCGAGTACTCGAGGTTTGTAGTTGAAAAGTTTACTGTAAAAAAAAAATCAAAAACAAAAAAATGTATTGTTTTTACAGAATAAATATATTGGAATGTGTACTGGGAGTAAGATTGAGGTTGTGAACCATCGAGTCAGTGTAACTTGGCTTTATTGTGACGTGAGGTATTAATGTAACTCGTTTATTAAAGCGAAACTTGCCAACAGCGAGTTGACGAGAGTCGAGTGCAGGCAAGGCTTTTCTTTCTCCCCTTTTGTATGTTTAGGCTCTCTGGGTTCTAGGTGAACACTGGGGAGGTTGAGAAGCGATAGCATGTCTTCACACTCAGCGGACCCTAAGTTCACACCTTGGCATCCTGTCTTCTTTTGGTGAAGAATTGATAAACAAAGAATATGTGATAAGTAAACGCCAAGGGCCGTTGGTGATTGTGATGATGGTGGTGGCGGCCGAGGTGTTCACTCCGGATGGGACGCTGCCCGCCCGTCCCGGCTGCTCCAGGCACCAAGGCGGCAGCCCTGGAGCTGTTTGTCTCTCGCTTAACAAATCCTAGCTTCCGCTATCATACTCACTTCCAGATCCAAAATGACGACAAAGAGATAGCAGGGAAGACAATCGGTCTTTAAAAGGTACTTCTAATTCTAATTTTGAATATTTTATTTCAAAACTAATTCAGTATTGGCTGGGGTGTGGCTCAAGTGGTAGAGCACCTGCCTAGTAAGTGTGAGGCCCTGAGTTCAAATCCCAGCACCTCCAAAATAAATAAGTAAAATTAATGACTCTTAATTCATCAAAAGATTTCTTCATTGCTCACACTAAAACCTGAACGTAGAAGACATTTTTTATTGGAACAATAATACACATATATGTATACTATATAGGATAGATTTTGTTAAATAGTCAAAGCTTATGAAATAGATATATATATTTCAAATTAACACCATTTGTTTTCATAAAGGCAAAAATAATTTTATTAAAAATATGCACAGAAATACAATAGAAATATTTCGTCACCAATAAACCAAGTCTTTACTAAGGGTAAGGACAGGCTATCTCATTTTGACTATTTAGATTCACACAAATATTTTTAATAGTAATTTTTTAAAGCAGTTAACGTACTTTCCTTGAAAAAAGGTTTTAAAATACTCCGATAGCCTTTTATATTGAGGTTGATAATGAAGCATATACATTTTATATGCAAAAGCTATATCTCCAACCTGCAACTGCTGTTTTGAATTATTTTATATACATCAACCATATTCACTTCATTTTTATGCTCAGTTGTAGGCATTAAATTGTAATTTTTCACACAAAATTTAATATGTGCAAATGGAATATTGAAATATATGGTCAGGTTTATCCACAGATAATTTTGAGGTATTTCTTTAAACAACTATTCCCAATTGCTTCAGTTTTCCATAAAAGAAGAAAATTAACCTGCACAATACTGTAGTTTGATCACACAGGCAGTGAAGATCGAGCACCTGTGCCTGAGTGTCTGTGTCTGGAAAGGAAGTGGCCGAGGCGTTTCCCTCATGGGCAGTGCGGCCGGTGAGTGGCGTGACCAGAGAGGAAGAGCTCGAAGGCCGGTCTATTCCACTTTCTCATCTGCCTTTGTCTTTACGAAGAACTCCGGTCTGTAGACACAGCGATAGGCCAGGAGCTGAGGTAGCACTCCATATGCTATATTTAATGTTAAAAAGAGAATTTTTGCTTCGTCAGGGACTCTGTGGGCATAGGCCGTTCTCGCATGGAGGGACGCACCAATGTGAGAAAACTGGGCCTGTAGTATCAAAAAAAAGCAAGAAAGGTATGAGTGTGGCGTTCCTGCCCACTCAGACAAGCGGGGGTTCCAGGCAGTTCATTCGCACCTTGTGTGCTCCCAAGATGGTTTGCTCGCAGGCAGAATACCTTCACGCAACCCCATTCAGTATAGGGTTGTTCGCCATATAACTTCAAATAAAATACACTTTCTTTAATGTGGTTCTATTATGTCAATTTTTTATCTCACCCGGTGCCCCATACCAAACATTAGGGTCTGGCTTTTTAATAGACAAACCTAAATAAAACCTCCATTTCTCTTCTGATTTGCACCTGGAAATCTTGTGAAGCAATTCCAGGTGCCAGTGGTTCATGCCTGTAACCCCAGCTATTTAGGAGGCTGAGATCTGAGGATGTGATTTGAAGCCAGCCCAGGCAGGAAAATCCATGAGACTCTTGTCTCCAGTTAACCACCAAAAAGCTGGAAGTGGAGTTGTAGCTTTAGAGGTAGAGCATTCAGAGATACTGTCCAGGGCTCTGAGTTCAAGCCCCAAGACTGGCACCAAAACAGATAAAAAGGACATTGACATTATAAAATACATTTAGCATAACAGTCAATTTAAAGAAAAATCCTGCCGAGAACTGGTTGCTCACACCTATAATCTTAAGCTACTCAGGAGGCTGAGATCCAAGGATCAGGGATGGAAGCCAGCCAGGGCAGAAAATGTCCCAAAACTCTTATTGCCAATTAGCCAGCAAAAAACAAAGTGAAGGTATGGTTCAAGTCGTAGCACACTAACCTTGAGCCTAGATCTAAGCCAAGAGTGTGAGAACCCGAGTTCAAGCCCCAGTACTAGCACAAGAAAGGAAACACTGAGAACCTCAACTTCTTTCATCATTCTTGTATTCTTGGAGCAGGAGCTCGAACCTTCTCATTGTGTAGTTTGTTTATCTGTGTATTTGTTTTCTGTGATAGCAGTTAGAAGAATGATTGTTCTTTATAAAGTTATAAAAACGTGCAGGCAGGCTTTTCAAATCAAACTGTAATGTATTTACAAGTATGACTTGCAGCAGGCTGGGTGCAGGAGGGCCTCCCAAGCCTGGGCTCTTGGGAGCACACACCCCTCTTGAGTGGGTGGTTGTGGGAGTGGGTTCTGATACTTTGCCTAAGCACAGAGGAAAATGATAGTAGATCAGGCAGTCAAGCGGGAGGAAGAGCAAAATCTGTGAGGGTTTCTGGGAAGTTGTGCCATTGTGGAATGCAGCCCCAAGTCTGCGTTTCCATGTCCTGCTGAAATTCAAGGCTTGCGTGTGTAAAGGACTGGGGACCTAAATGTGATAAGTGATAATCAATAGTTTGCCAGGACCAAGGTGAAGAGATACGATAATACGACCTAGAGAAGACAGAAGTAACCGGAAGGAAGAGTGGGTGCTTCGCACCCAGCGGGACGCAGTGACTGCTGAGTGGTCAGCAGATGCCCGGCTGCAGGCGTCTGACCCCGAGGAGGGACGGCCGCCGGCTCTTCCGAGCAGCCTGAGTGTGGATCCGCATCCCTGGCAGAGCAGCGAATGGGCTGTCGCTTTCTAAATCACCTGGACACCCTGCACACTTCTGGTACATGCTTGCTATCCTCTGGAGAAAGGAAGTGAATTACCGTGTTGGCTGCCAAGGACCAGCAAGTGGGTTATCTGCCTGGTGACGGCAGGGTGGAGCGTGTCCTGCCCACACGCCTCCCCGGCAGACGCCCGCACAACCCAGAAATACACTTGGAACTCTGGGCCACAAGGACAAAAGGACCGTGAGCCACGAGCCCCTGGGCCCCCCCCCCAGCTGCGGCTGGGACACTCAAGAACTCCCTAGGGCCCATTTTGAATGCCTTTTTCTGAATATATACCTAAACCTTTTCTTCTGGACTAGAGGCCAGTTTTCAACCCTATTTTCTCAGAAATGTGGGTTTGGTGACATTATGGACTTGTGCACATTGCAGAATTGATCAGATTTGGAAAAGGCACCATCTGTGCTTTCAGAGTAAGGACCGGGCGGCTGTGCCTCCTCGCATGGGAATGTCAGCCGCTTCGCGGCCCGGCCCGGGCTCCGACGCGCCGGCCGGCGCAGCTATACCTCATCCTCACCACAGCAGACTCACAGCAACATGGAAAAACAATCATGTCCTTAGGTTAGATTGTAAGCCCACTGGGCAGGAACTGTGTCAAATGTTTTGTGTGGCACCTATCACATTGTTAAAGCTCAATAAACGTTCAACAGTAAGAGTCTTGTGCCTGTCAAGAATCAAAATGGATCTATAAAGAACTTTTCTATTCTCATGAGGCCATTCTCGGAAATGGAGGCGCTGCCCTGTGCCTCGTTAGCAGAGGGGATCCCAAGGCGGGTCACCTGCCGCTCCTCGCGCCCACCTCCTCCCCTGAGCCACAAGCTCAGGCTCGCCTGCAGAGGGCACTGGCCTGCCGGGCAGCCGCCCCTGGGCAGCTCTGCAGGCGCCCCAGGCCTCCCTGTGCTGGCTTTGGGTCCAGTGGGTGAGTGAGCTCAGAGCTGCCCAAGGTCTGCATCTGTAATCGCTTCACTTCAGTGACGTGAACTGAAGGTTCACGGGGCTGTCCTCATTTCATTCTAAATTGTCTTCTAGTTATGCAACTAATTTACAGAGATATGCTCTTTTTCTTTTTAAGGCGGCTTGAGTGGAATGGAAAGTGTGGCACTGAATGTGAACAAAGCTGCATTTCCATCGCTCTCCTAAGCTCTAGACCAGCAACCTAGAAAGCATGGCTAGAAACTGCAGTTCTGCCTGCTCAGCGGACTGTGACACAAATGTCACAGGGAAGAAGGGACGTGGCCCTTGGGACTGGGGCCGGGTTGTTTAGCTGAAAGGGGACTTGTCAGTAACCCGGAACCTGCTATCTTAAGGACTTTCTGAGAGCCATAGCCATGCGTCAGCAGTGACTCTGGAAGCAGGTGCCAGAGTCCCATTCCAGCCCTGCCCGACAGACAGCAGGGTGACCCGGGGCCGGGTGTGTCACCTGTAGAGTGGGTAGTGACAGAACCTCCCTCCCAACAAGTAGGGGTTTTAACGAGGGCTCAGAGCGGCGCCACAGCCGTGGGGCTCTTCTGTGATGCGTGCTCAGGACCTGGCACTCTGTTTTGGTGAAAACTTGGGCTCCCTTTGTTTCAAGATCCTCTTGGGGGTGTTTTCCTCCAAGGAAAGAAGCACAAAAAGATGTTAGACCCAAAGTCTAGCTCGAATCATGAATGCGCCTAGTAATGAGTCAGACGCGTGGGGCAAAGGCATAAAGAAGGTTTGCATTAGTCCCCTGATGACACGAGCGCCTCCCGGTCTCGACTCCAGATGACACGTTCCTGAAGGAGCGCCTTAGGAAGCTCTAGGATGGCCATCCGGTTCAACCCGAGTATCCACAGGCGAGTGCTCGCAGCCCTGCACGGGAGGGGGCGAGTCCCTGACTCACGGGACTCATTCTGCCTTGATGGCAGCAGGAAGCCCACAGCAAATAGGTCCCCCAGCTTTTGCCCAGTTTCTTTGGTTTGGGGGTGATTATACACGCTGCACACCGCTAAAACTGTCTTCAGGTTCATTACTCTCTAAAGGCCTGTCTCCTCCCAGCTTGTGTAACGGTGACGTGCCAGGTACTGCTGTGAGCCCTGCGCTCACACAGCACTGAGCAGCAATACACTCACATCACCAGTCAGCCCTCCACACCTGGGCCAGGCCTCCGGCGTGCATCAGCGTCACGTCCCGCATCCAGGAGCACCCTGGGACCACGAGGCCGTAAAAGGCGATCACAAAGTAGGGGACAGAATAGAACATGTACACCAGCATCTGCATTGGACAGGGAGGGAACGTCAGGAGATGTGTGATCTGAATGAAAAGAAAAAAAAGACATCTGCTAATGGGCAGCGTAACAAGTACTCCACCTGAACTTTAGGGTAAGCCACGGGGTCCTTTAGGTAGGGCTCCTGAAACTGTGTGTATAGCCGGCAGAGCTCAGCGGGGCAGTCCAACGCAACCTGAAAACAAAGGGAAGTTGTTCCGCAAACACAGCCGCTCCTGAGCCCAGGGTTTTCTGATAAGGCTATAAAGGCATCAGGGTTAGTCACAGCTGTCTGGCTGTTGAACAAAAACTGCGCTGAAGAGGCTCATCAGAGAAAAAGCAAAGAATGGAACTGTTCTGCAGATTTATCTAAGGAGATTGAGCAGAGGTTAATAATGGAGCAGGAGATAGAAACTAAGACTATTATCAATAACTTGCACAGGCTCATAAAGGATCTGGGTTTAGTAGCTGAAACCTGGTTGCCTTTACATGTCAAGTTCCTCTCTTCTGTCCATATCAAATGCATCTTATCATGCCTTGTGAGACTCGGAAATGGTGTCTTCCCCTCTCCGGGGCCTCACAGGGCCGGGGGCCAGTGAAGGGCCATGCTTGGGGAGCAGGGTGCTGGACCTCTGTGTCCACTTGGAAAGAGAGTAGCAGCATCTCTTTGGCATACTCCTGAATCACCTCTCCCCACCCCGCCAGGCACCAGTCTTGTGTCCTTGGCCATAAAAGAAACATAACACAGAACGCGGATCGAGCCCATCTGCAAATGCGCTGCCCGCCACACACATGCACATTTTCCCTCAGGTGCAAAGGAGCTGGAAATGGCTAGGCAGGAACACCACCCGTTCCCATTACTTGCTATCTGCACTTGGAGAACTGGAGCAAACTAACCAAAGAACCATTTCAGCGGTCTAAGGAAAGCCTATGGCCTTGCCTTCTGTATTTCTGTCTCTTGTGTCCTAGGCCAAATTCTTGAGGAAGATTCAGACAGTGCACAGACCACGCTAAGAATGGCGTCTCATCCTGGGTCAGGGACACCGGCTGGCACCTGGCACGCCGTGCCTCAGCTCTGCAGCGCCGGCAGTTGTGGGATGGTGAGCCACTGCTCCCGAAGCTGAATGCACCAGCCACGCAATGCGGCTCAAATGTAAGAAGGTGTAAAACGGGCAGCTCGCAGGATCACCGAACAGGTAAGAGCTCAACAGCAGTCACTTATTATTTACTATGTATAAGACTCTTCTGATCATTTAGGGCCATTATCTTAATCTCCAGAACAAAGAAGGAGTACTAGTTTACAGAGGAGAAAATTATGGGCCGGAGATTAAATAATTAGGACAGGGCCAGGATTCCAACCCCAAAACTTATAGGTCTGTCTTTTAGCTATGGCACTAAGAAAACGATAAAGGGAAAGACCAAAGTGACATGCCCGTGTGCCTTTAATGCCCATCACCCACATCAGGACAGAGACTCCAGAGTGAGCGTAGTTTACCCCACATTATTCTCAGCACGGAGAAGGTCACATGGCCGTTCTATGTGGTCCTACACAGGTGAGAACTTGGCCCTCGGTTCCATTGCTCCTCCTCATTCCTTGGTTTGGTTTGCTGACTTTCTGAGACAGGATCTCAGCCTAGGCCGGCCTTGAGCTTTCTGCGTAGCCCAGGCCCATCTCAAACCCCTGGTCCTCCTGCCTCTGCCCCCGAGTGCTAGGATTTCTGGCTGGCAGCACCGTGCCCGCCTCCCTTCCCCCACTCCCGGAGAATATGGGGTGCCTGGGGCTAGGGTTGTACATCTAAGTGGGAAACATCCATGCAAGCACAGAAAACAATTCTATAGGCTCAATTTTCACATCCTAAAACTAGGAGAGGAAGACGTGGATAGAGTTTGATCTAAGGACTAGAAGAAGGCTGTGTGAAAACTCGGGACGGGCTGCCCTCGGAGGCAGGGGGCAGGGCTGAGGCTCCAGGCTCTGATCAGATTTTAATAGATTCCCGAGAATTCTAGCCTAAGAAGGGCACTGGTGGCTCACACCTGTAATCCTAAACACTCAGGAGGCTGAGATCTGAGGATTGCTATTGAAGCCAGGCAAGAAAGTCTGTGCAACTCTTATCACCAATTAACTACCCAAATAGCTCAAGTGGTAGAGCACTAGCCTTGAGCAGAAAGCATCAGAGACTGTATCCAAGTCCTGAGTTCAAACCCTAGGACAGGCCACACACACACGCAGAGTACCCCAGAACTTATTTCCAGGTGTTTCCCCACCGGAAGCATGGACAGTGTAGTTACGTTACATATTGATCCATTAGGCTTACCAGGCCTCTGAACAGGCAAAACCCAGTGGCCAGAAGGAGACACAGGACCAGCATCAAGTCACAAGGTCTTCTCAGCAGGCCCTTTGCTTGTACCTCTTGAACAACCTAAAACAGAATTTGTAACTCAGGAGCCAAGTCCAGAGTTCAAAGAACCCGAAATCTGCTGAATCGTTTGTTTGTATTTGTTGTGCTGAAGTTTGAGCTCAGGGCCTCAGCGTTTATTATGTGGGAGCTCTCCCACCTGAGCCACAGCCCCAAACCTCCTTTGCACCAGCTATTGTGATTCGATCTCGCTTTTGCCCAGCCCATAATCTGTTTTATGCTTCCTTTTTTTTCTTCTTTGGTGCCAGTACTGGACTGGAACTCCTGTCTCTCCCAGCACGCGTGGCAAAGCTCGCGTTGGCCCCTTTGCCCTGTCTTAGCATTAAGGATGACACTAACGAAGGTCTTCGTGGGTCTCGAGACCTGAGCACTCCATTGGCACTCACACGAACCTTTGAAAGCAGGCAGGCCAAGGCTAAAGCTAGAGTTACTGTTAGCTTTTTCTTTTAAACAACTACCTATGCAGGAGCTGATAAGAGCCAAAGTCTTGGATAAGATCACTACCACAGGAGTTCCCAAAAGTGAGGCCTGGCCAATAGAAGGGGGCGTTCAGACAGAACCGGGCCATCTGCAGCGTAGACTGAGACGCATACAGTGCTGCACTCGGCATGGTCAGCTGACCAAATGCCTCAGTGCTCCGCTCCTCAGAGGCTCAGTTCTGTTCATGGCGCATGGAGCTAGGTGAGCTCTGTGAGTTGATTTGTTTGTTTGTTTTGGGTCTGGTTGTGGGGCCTGAACTCTGGGCCTGGGCGCTGTCCCTCAGCTCTTCAGCTCAAGGCTAGCGCTCTACCACTTGAGCCAC